CATTTATTTGAGATATAAATCTTTTGTAACATTATAAATGTCTTTACTAAAGCAATTTAATGCATCTTTGCTGATTAAAAGTATTAATTGTTTAGTTCTGACCTGAATATGTTCCACATCCTGGCAGAGCTCGTGAATCTCATTAACCAGTCGCTGATATTTCTGCTGAGGAGTTTCCTTCTCGCCACAACCCTCAGCTAACTGCAGGACGAGAGAAAATAAATCAGGACAAACGCTGAGAGACTCCATAAAACTAAACGAATCATGAAGCAGTTGATGATGAGCGAGTGAATTACTCACAAGCTCGTACTCTCCAGACTCATAGCCCACCCTGCGACTCTTACTGATGCGGTCTGAGAAATCTGCACACACACACTCCCGCACGCGCGCACACACAAACAAGCATGCACACAAACAAGCACGGACGGACACGCACGCACACACACACACATGCACACACACACGCGCATGCACACACACACACGTGCACACACACATACACACACACACGCACGCACGCACACACACACAAACACGCACACACAAACAAACACGCACACACACACACGTGCACACACACACACACACACACAAACATTCACGCACACACAAACAAACGCACACACACATGCACGCACGTGCACACACACACACAAATCAAATATAAAAATTAATTGAAGGGTTTTTTCAGCCTATATTAATTATAACAGCTTGGATGCATTCGACATTTACCAATACATACACGTTCATAACAGCGCACACGATAGAAAAATAAAAAGACATTAGTCAGTGAGTAAAGCCAAAACCAGAAAAAATAAAACATTTGTTAAAAAAAAAAAACTTTTTCTGAAATAAACTTAAATACAAAAAAGGTCAACTTATTTTATTTCAGATAGCTGCCAAAGCAACATTTCTGATTTTCATTTAGTTTAACTAAATATTAAAATATATATAACACTAAGAAAACGACAAATGCAACAAAATTGCTAACATTTTAAAATTACAATGAAAGCAAAAAATACATAACAATAAAAAAAATCATTCAAATTTTTATTCAAATATGAATCAAATCTATAATATTTACTCCGTGATAGTGAAATAACAGTGTTTGGTATCTCAGAAAAGGATCTCCTCACCCAGACCCTTGGCGCTGATGTGTTTGTCTTTGAACTTGTCGTAGGCGGCGTTGGGATTGACGACGATCCGCTCCACGCTGTCGCTACACAGCTCCTCCTGCAAGACGAGTCAGAAACCAATCACACGAGAAAAACACACACACACACACACACAGATCAACACAAACCAACAGATCTAGACACCTTGCTGATTATAAAGGAGACGCTTCTGAAGCTCTGATTGGCTGAATCAGAGGCAGTTAGGCCCCTCCCACAGAAGGGGCGTGGCTGATTGGAATGCTGATTTAAGAGTGACGTGCGTGAGAACGACTGTCCAGCTCAGGCTCTGGAGAGCATTTATTGAATCACTCAGAAATTTCGCAGACCATCATGCATTAATTCTGTCAAACACACATCAATCTGAAAATAAATGACAGGAAGAGATTCAAGCTGACGGCACAGGTGTTTAATAAGCTTGAGCATCATCTAAAATACTGCAGCAGACTGAAAACATCTATGCTGGACTATTAATGTGTTGTGAATGTTTGCTAAAATGTTATAACCAGAGTTTAGTGTGTTACTAGGGTGGTTTCTTACTGATCCAAGTCTCTATTCTCTTCTTTAATGTAAATCTAGTTCAGCAAACACCACTAAAGGTTTGTTATAAGGGGAAACCGTACTCTATGAATCTGCGTGTCTACTGTGTAATCATTACGCTGGAGAAACACAAACACACACAGAAGAGCGTCTGATGAACGCAAGCGTACGGTGAGCTCACACAGCATTCGGACACTGCTCTGTTTTAACTGGCCGGGACTGTCAGCGTGAAGGGCATTTTCAGCAGCGTTTAGAGCACTTACTGGACATTAAATGCACAGACTTTTTCATTCTGGAGCATCGAGAGAGAGTACTCATGAGAAAACTCATGTTTTTAAAGGCAATCTGTGTGATCGGCGATTCGGCTCTTTGTATTAAGCAATGCATAAATACATGATGCTGTTTTGTTCATAATTGTTTATGCAATTTACGAAATTATATTTGATTTATATGAGTTAATTTAGACGTAATGCATGTTTTTTATAGACAGTTATTTCCTTGCGTTGACAATTTAAATGCGCTGCATTATTTGGCTCAATTGCGCCCTCCTGTGGCCTCGGGAGACAAGACAAAAGATTTCTTGAGACCTATTTAATCTGCATATAAAACATTAGAAATTAGATATTTGTTTAATTTTTATTGTGTGTTTGACTGTTAAAACAAAAAATATTTGTTGTTTGTCTCAATAAATTGGGCTAATTTAATAATAGTGGTTAAATAAAAAAAAATAATTCTATTGCTCTTTGTTTTAAAAAAAGGTTATAAAAAATGTCAATAATTATCGATACCGAACAATATGAAACATTATATCGTTGATACATTTTTTAGCTTTATCGCCCAGCCCTAATTTTAACATAAAAAATAAGTCTTCTTAATAAATCTTAAGTATTACTATAAATATATTAATAAATAACAATAATCACAATCATAATAAATATATGAATTATATAAGTATATTAAGTGCTGTATAAGTATTAGTATAAGTATAACTATATTAATAAATAATAATCATAATCATAATAAACATATTAATTATAAGTATATTAAGTACTAGTATAACAATTATAAATAATAATAAATATATTAATCTATACAAAATGTTATATGTGTGTGTGTGTATATATATATATATATATATATAATTTTGTAATGGTATATTATTTTATATTTAATTTATTCTATTTTATATTTATTTAATTTAAGACTTTCTTTTATATTTAATATACATACACATATCTTTTCAAACCATATCCTAATATCACATTTATGGAGCATTTTACCACTGGACAGTATTTCTGTCAGCACTCAGTTTGTGTGTGTGTTTTTTTCCAAACTGAAAGCCAAGTTGAAATCATTTTCTGTAGTAACTTGACATCATGTCACAGATGCTGCATTTAACCCAGAATATTGCTTTAGCTTTCCTAACGTGCAAAATCCTGATGAAAACTCCCATCTGTCAGATCGGCCAATCACATTAATGCACATGCACAGCTCACGATCAGACTTCTGATTGGTTTAGAGGAGTCACTGGGTGTTAAAGGGGAATCAGAAACTCTTACCAGCTCCTTGGGTCCCCAAAGACAGTTAGAGCAGAAGAGAAAGAGAAAAACAGAAGAGAGTGAGGAAGAGAGAGAGATATTAATGTAGTTATCATATGACATGCACAACAGCAGCTGGAGGGAGAGGAGAACAGAGCGCTGTGTTTATTTCATCAGAGTCTGTTACTTAGAGCCTATATATATATATATATATAATTTTGTAATGGTATATTATTTTATATTTAATTTATTCTATTTTATATTTATTTAATTTAAGACTTTCTTTTATATTTAATATACATACACATATCTTTTCAAACCATATCCTAATATCACATTTATGGAGCATTTTACCACTGGACAGTATTTCTGTCAGCACTCAGTTTGTGTGTGTGTTTTTTTCCAAACTGAAAGCCAAGTTGAAATCATTTTCTGTAGTAACTTGACATCATGTCACAGATGCTGCATTTAACCCAGAATATTGCTTTAGCTTTCCTAACGTGCAAAATCCTGATGAAAACTCCCATCTGTCAGATCGGCCAATCACATTAATGCACATGCACAGCTCACGATCAGACTTCTGATTGGTTTAGAGGAGTCACTGGGTGTTAAAGGGGAATCAGAAACTCTTACCAGCTCCTTGGGTCCCCAAAGACAGTTAGAGCAGAAGAGAAAGAGAAAAACAGAAGAGAGTGAGGAAGAGAGAGAGATATTAATGTAGTTATCATATGACATGCACAACAGCAGCTGGAGGGAGAGGAGAACAGAGCGCTGTGTTTATTTCATCAGAGTCTGTTACTTAGAGCCACAGGCCTCCGTTCCTTCAGCTGATACTGAATAACGCCTGTGCACCGCTACATCTGATCATGCCATCAACACAAAACCGCTCACTGCAAGAAAGATTAGCCAGAGTTTTACGCGTGACCTCGAGCGTGTGCTGTTCTGAGGAGAGAGCAGATGTTAGTCTTCAGCACGTGACACAGACGAGGGACTCGAGATCAGACCGGAGAAACAGCTGGAGTTACACACATACGGAGAGACTGAAGGAAGAAGGGCTGCACAAGTCATAGTAATTAAACCAGAACCATCATATATCAAATCCCAAAATCTGCATTTTAGTTAAAAAAAAAATGTATGCACAAAACATACGTTTCAGAGTGAAGTTATTCTCCGAGTTTGGGTCTCTTTTAACATGCATTTGGGAACGCAATACGCGTCAAGCATCCTTCCCATACTTGTGTTGAAAGAGCTTATATTAGTATTAGTGATCGACCGATATTGATATTTTATAACCGATACCGATACCAATTATTTGCGTGTTTCTGTGCCCAATATGCAGAACCGATATTTATTTACTGTTAAAAAGTAAATAAATGACTGAGTGAAGTAAGTCCATACTTCACTTTGGTTTTTCCTCCTTTCAGTCACCTTAAAAAATTTTTTTTTTTAAAGTGTTGAAAATTACCAGTCTTTTATGTTACATTTAATCTTCATATTACAATAAAAAAACATATTATTTAAAGCATCAGCAGCAACACTAATATTAACAATAAGCAAAATAAATGTAGAAGGTCTAATGTTTTCAAATGGAGAAAATAAATAAAGGAGTCATATCAACTTCATTTTAAACTACAGTTTTAGTAGGTTCACACACACGCTCTCTCACTCACACACTCACTCACACACACAGATACTCACCGACTCAAAATGTGCCTGATCATCCTCGGGCAGATCACTCGTCTCATAGACGTCAGGCTCGTTGGAGGCCTGGAAGGAAATGATGTCATTTCAACAATATGATGTCAATCACATGTGAGAACAAAAACACAACAGACATAAGAGCTCAAGTGTAAATAGATACATTTATAACTGTAACTTCTCATCACACTGCAAAAAAGTGATGCTCTTTATCAGTGTTTCTGTCTTGTTTTCCAGTGCAAATGTCTAAAGACTCTTAAATCAAGATACATTTACTTGAGAAACAAATGACATAAAATAAGAAGTCTGGTTTTATGAGAAAATGGTCAAAATGACGTGCGTTTATGATTAAAAAACAACAAATATCTGCCAATGGAGTCAGAAAAATCTACTTAATTCAAAGGGAAAAAGCTTTCATTCCTCACTGACAGATATTTGTTCTTGTTTTAAGCAGAAACTCACTTCATTTTATTACATTTTTCAAGAATTTACATTTGTTTGTTAAGTAAACATCTTGATTTAAGGACGTTTAGATATTTGCATTTGAAAACAAAAACAGTGAGATATTCATTTTTTACATTAAACATTTAATGCCATGACTTTATGAATGTAAGGTTTTCTTCTCTGATTTACGTATGACCTTTTATAAAACCCACAGAAATCTTGTATAAACATATATATATATACATACATATATATATATATATGCACACACTACTGTTCAAAAGTTTGGGATCAGTAAGATTTTTAATGTGTTTTTAAAAAAAAGTATCTTCTGTTCTTCATCAAGGCTGCATTTATTTGACCAAAAATACAGAAAAAAAACTGTAATATTGTGAAATATTATTGCAATTTAAAATAATGGTTTTCTATTTTAATATACTTTAAAATATAATTTATTTCTGTGATCAAAGCTGGATTTTCAGCATCATTACTCCAGTCTTCAGTGTCACATGATCTTCAGAAATCATTCTAATATGCTGATTATTATCAGAGCTGGAGACTGTTTTGCTGCTTAATATTTTTTTGGAACCGGTGATACTTTTTTCCAGGATTCTTTGATGAATAAAAAGTTAAAAAGAACAGTGTTTATTTAAAATAAAAATCTTTTCTAATAAGTCTTTATCACTTTTTTATCAATCGAACACATCCTTGCTGAATAAAAGCATTCATTTCTTTAAAAAAAATAAAAATGACTGACCCCAAACTTTTGAACAGTAGTGTATATTGTTACAAAAGATTTCTATTTCGAATAAATGCTGTTCATTTTAATATTTTATTCATCAAAGTATCCTGAAAAAAGTCTGATCAAATAAATGCAGCCATGATGAGCAGAAGAGACTTCTTTAAAAAACATGACAAATCTTACTGATCCCAAACTTTGGAAGGGCAGTGTAAGTATATGTTATGTTGTATATATATATATATATATAAAACAGCAGACAAATAGACAAACATAGACTACAAAAATTTAATTGATAGAATAAAAATATATATGGATGTAAATATAAAGATTAGGGGGACAAAATGCAAAAACCAGCATTGAAACCCCATACTGATTGAGCAATAATATAAGTCTGAAAAAGCCAAATAAACGACTGCAATAACAAGAAATATTAAAACACCGACATTATATTACACCAATCTCACATCTGGCCAACGCCCTTCACAAACATCTATTTCTTCCAATCCTGCCTGAGAAATAAAGGTGTGCAACAGCCCCTTTACACAACATACAAGCAACTAAGCGGGAAAAACATACATTTAAACAATATTCATAACGTTAAGTTGTGTGTGTTTTGTTTGACGAGCGTCAGTCACAAACATGAGCTAACACTCCTCTAAGAATCTGAAATAACTCTAACGTTACATCTCAAATGGCTTTAAACACCCTTGACCATCTTATATTTACTCAGGACACTTAATTAGCCTACAGATATGAATTTATAAATATGAATGTTTGGTTTTGAATCACCTCAGACCGTTAGCCGCGGCTAATGCTAACGTAACGTTACCGCACTGTTATTGTTGTTTACGGACTGAATGAATCACTTACGATGCCCGGCAGGTTTGCATACTTCGGGTCGGCCATTGCAGCACGCTGGGGAAAAGCAGTCTAATGTGATTCTATATGCGGTGTGTGTTTCTTTACTGCAGTCTGAAAGCAGATAATAATCGGCTGGATGAAGCGGATGAACGAACAGGCCGACACTAGTGACAACAGCCGTGACGTCACACGCTAACAAAACCTCGCGCAATCTCGCGAGGATTCAGGGATCATGTGAAACGATAGACTGCATAAAAAGTGTGAAGCATATCTTATTTTGAGATTCAAAGCAGCTGAAAAAAGGAATGTGACAAAACTCTCAAAATAACTTGCAATATAAGGTGATGGGCAATATAAGGTGATTTTAATAATTAAGTAATAATACTTAATTATAACAATATTTATTTATTGTTCAGTGGTACTTCAAGTAAATATATTAGGTGAAAGTGGTTTAGCTGACAAAAAAAAAGGTGCATTTCATGTAAATAAGAAATAAAATCTGATTACATAATCTAGATTACATGTAATCATTTACTACCCAGCTCTGTTTATATATATATATATATATATATAAAACGCAACACACAAAGCTTTCTTGGTGCACTTCTCATTTTTGTCTAAAATATAAGTTGACATGTTGACCAGTGGTGCTGATGCGAGTCAGCACACGCCCCGCCCCCTGTCTAATATCGGCCAATCAGAGCGCCGCGGTGCCCAGCGCGTGTGTCTCCGTATCCCTGCACTTCTGCAGCAATAACACTCACCACACAACCTCGAGAGAGCGATTCACTGAAACACTCTTTACTATCATCCGCTCGGCTCTCGGCTTTAACGACGGATTCGATTTGCAAGATGCTTTGAATCGCAGCAGATTCATTTGAGACGGATCATTCATCCCTTGTTTCGCCTGTCAATAAAAGCCATTCATCTGCAGAGGACTGTGCGAGTATTCATAGATCAGAAGAAAAGGACACAAACGCACTGTTGTATCTTTAGTGCAGGATGGTTGATGTCAGCGCAGAATGCAACATCAGGGTGTTGTGTCGCTTCAGACCCCTGAACCAGTCCGAAATCCTCCGAGGGGACAAATATATTCCCACATTTCACGGAGATGACACTGTTATCATCGGGGTAAGTTCATACAAGTTTTCCTCTTGATATTCTATGTTCATTAGTAAAGTGACGCAGATGGGTCACAGTCCAAATCCATTTTCAAAGTTCCGTTTTCACACTCCTCCAGATGGTGATATTAATTTTTAAGGAAATACTCGCCAGTGCATGCTGATGATCTGATTTATTCAGATTTGTGTCGTGTGCTTATGCTTATGCATGCACACGAGTGCATTTATAAATATCTAAACAATATTTCACTTGAATGAAAACTTCATATGGTTATGAAAGCAGTTATACATATATATAAAAACACTTTAGGGTTCAGCACAGTACATATGTTACCAGAGGAGTAAATGAGTGTCATTTACACACACACACACACACACACACACTCACACTCACTCTCTCACACACACACACACACACACACTCACACTCACACTCACACACACTCACTCACACACACACTCACACACACACACACACACACACACATGTCTGGTCAGCTATCCTTGTGGGGACTCTCCATAGGCGTAATGGTTTTTCTACTGTACAGACCGTATATTCTATTGCCCTACACCAACCCTACCCCTAAACCTACCCCTCACAGGAAACTTTCTGCATTTTTAGATTTTCAAAAAACTTCATTCTGTATGATTTATAAGCTTTTGTACCCGTGGGGACCACAATTTAGGTCCCCACCGTGACACGAGTCCCCATGAGTCTGTGTGTAGTCAGGTTTAAGTCCCCACCAGGATATATAAACCAGTACACAGTCAAACCAGGTAGAATAAATGCATGTTTTATTATAGTGTAGATATAGATTCAGTTTGGAATCATCCTACATGTCTAATACATGTCCTACACCCCACACCCACACACACGATGGGCTTCACTGCTGCTAAAATGTAGTGAGCATCATCTATCTGCGAGAGCAATGACGGAAAGACAGTCTGAAATAAAGTGTTTGTTTTTAAGTGCTGTGGTTATGACTCATGGTTTGACAAAAAAAATCTCTCTGTGGGTGAGATGTACCAATGAGGATTGAGTTACTTGTACTAAATCAAGGTTTAGATGCTAATTCAGTTGCTCCAAACTCTACAGAAGAGTAAAATTTATGCAAAATCAGTTGCTGCAAACCTTGTTTAAGGATAATCTCGACTACATTTACACTGTCTTTGTGATCCTGGCTTTAGCTTTGAGCTAAATCTATAGACTAAAGGAATAGTTCACCCAAAAATGAACATTTGCTGTAAATGTTCTCACCCTCAGGCCATCGGAGATGTAGATGAGTTTGTTTCTTCATCAGGTTTGTAGAAATGTAGCATTGCATCAGTGTCTCAGCAATGGATGCTCTGCAGTGAATGGGTGCCGTCAGAATGAGAGGCCAAACAGCTGATAAAAACACACTGATGCAATGCTACATTTCTACAAATCTGTTCCCATGAAGAAATAAACTCATCTACTTATTGGATGGCCTGAGGCTGAGGAAATTTTCAGCAGATTTTCATTTATGGGCGAACTGCTCCTTTAACAAATCTGTTGGACCTTAAAACCTAAATCAGCAGTTCATTCAGTAGCGTGTTTAGGCACCACGAAACGTGATTCTTACCGACGGGGAACATACTCCACACACCCAGCGGCGGAGCTAGAGTTTTATACATGGGGTGGCCAAAGCTTATTCAGGACAGAAAATCAGTGTATAACTCTGTCTTTCCGCGGTTGAAACACTCATTGAGTGATTACATGAGACACTGTACATTCAGTAAGTTGTAGTGTATCTTTCAACACGCCCTCGGATGTTCATTCATGTTTATTTCATGCTTATTAGAATGCACTCCTGCTTCGCTTGAACTGAGGCAAAGCGGGAGAGCACATGAACCGTCATGCCAATAAAGAGCTCCAAAACTCTACTTATCATTTGAAATTCTTAATAAAACTAACAGAATTTGAATGCTGAGACTTTGTTTCCTATTATCAGAATCAGAATGCGCTTTATTTGCCAAGTGTGTGCAAACACACAAGGAATTTGTTGTGGGTATTTTAGGAGCTCTTGGTACAAACATCAAAAGTAACCTGCCCTGCGTTGTCAGTGTCCTCTTTGCTCTGCAATGTTTTTCACTCTGTAAGAAAATGAACGTGTGTCCACCCTGCTCCCCCCCAAAAAACACAATTTCTACACTTGCTTAGGGCCCAAAACTCTAGACACGCCTCTGAGTACATTGGCTCTAAACTCTAATTTCAATCATTATTGATGCAGCCCACTCTATGTGTGCTAAAATGGCCACAGCTACACAAGAGTAGCTGAAATATGCTGAAGGTTAAAACCCAGTGAAGCTCTTCCGGGAGTGTGAACGCTCTCAGACACACACATGGATCTGCTTGGCAGAAATATAACAGCATTCGCAGCTCTTATAACTGGCTCCCAGTACTGCAACAGCACAAATATATCAGCCTCTAAAGCTCAGATTAAAGATAGTGTGACGGGAACTAAATATATGTCTGAATGTGCCAGTGTCAGTGTGATAGCGCAGGTTTGCAGTTATGGATGATTGTGTGTGTGTGTGTGTGTGTGTGTGAGAGAGGCTGACGCAGATAAATGGGTCATTCCTATACTGCAGAAACTCTGTAACAAACTCTGTAATGTTTGAAAACATGAATATCAATAAGTATTTCTACAATAGCATATAGCAGATGCTCAGAAATAAAAGAACAGTTAGTTTACAACTTGAAGTTCATTTTCATATTTCACATCTTTTGAAATGTTGATATTATTAAACTGATCTGTGACCAAAGATGAAAGTTTTAGAGTGAAACAAACCAACTAACATCACAAAATTAACTAAATCCATTGATCCAGCTAACAAAAATATGTTCTAAGAACGTTTTGCTAACGTTCCCATTAAGTTATGAAAACATTTCTGAATGTTCTCTGAACGTCCAAAACATCAAATTTTGTGAAAATGTTTTTAAAAAGTTTGTTATGCAAATGTTAAGGGAACGTTCCATTTGATCATTTTGCAAACATTAACGTTACTTTTGAATGTTCTCTGAACATTCCAAAACAATTAACATTTAAAAAACATTAAGACAAATGTCTAAGATGTTAAAAAATATTCCATGAACGTTGTATCAATGTATTTGTGCTAACATTTAAAAAAAACAGATAATTTTGAATGAACGGTCTTTTAACATTACTGGAAAAACATAGAGAGAATCTTGCTAGAACGTTCTGAGAATGTTCCCACCAAAATGATGTCACTTCCTGGAGGATTCTGTCATTAAATCCACATCCACTCAAACCAATGTAGTGAAATAATTTAAAATGAAGCCCTACATTGTGTTCACTTCAAGATATTGTGATGAAGGTTGAAACTAAATACATTTTCAATTTAAAAATTAATTTCATTAAGTTTCATTGTTTGCAATATATATTTTGAATATATTTTGGCTAGAAAAAAAAAAATTTATTTGCCATATGCAAAAAAACTAATTATATTTCTGCAAGTCTAAAGCTGAAATCAGAGACCCTATTAAAGGAGAGCTTAGTGGCTTCTAGCTCAATATACTCCTAAAAGCTGTGCAACGCTGCAACCCAGATTATTGCTCTGCGGCTCACGCTGAACTCAGCAGAAAACATGTTCAAAACTCCCTATAAACACAGAGTGTTGATATCATGAAATAGTTGTGTGAACTACTCGCCTATTGTTGAATTTCTGGCTTGAGGCAAGTTCTACACACAGTGAGAAACAGATAAACTCTTTCTATTCAGTAAATCTGACTGAATTCAGATGATTTATAGCTATGTTTATAGCTGCAGCCTGTGGTTTAGGTTCTATTCCTGGTAGACTGAAGGAATAGTTCACCCAAAATCTGCTGTAAATGTGCTCACCCTCAGGCCAGATTAGGATGAGTTTGTTTCTTCATCAGATTTGTAGAAATGTAGCACAGCATCAGTGTCTCAGCAATGGATGCTCTGCAGTGAATGGGTGCCGTCAGAATGAGAGTCCAAACAGCTGATAAAAACATCACAATAATCCACAAGTAATCCACAGCACTCCAGTCCATCAGTTAACATCTGGAGAAGACAAAAGCTGAAACACATCCAGCATTAAGACGTTTTTAACTAAAATACG